TAACAGATGCCTGTAATCCCAGCATGGGAGGCCTAGGCGAGAGAACTGCTTTATCCAGGAGGAAGAGGAGATTGCAATGAGTCAAGATTTCGCCACTGCACTCCAGCCTCGGGGCCAGAGCAGGACTCTGTCTTAAAAAGCAAATCAAGTTGACTGTGATGATGACTGCACAACTCTGTGAACACACTAAATATCAGTGAACTGTACTGTCCACTTACATACATCGTGTGGTATATGAATATCTCAAAAAGCTGTCATCAGAAAAGTAGTCTTCATTTTACAGGGATTTTTTTTCTTTTTTTCGGAACAGAGTCTTGCCCTGTTGCCCAGGCTGGCATGCAATGGTGCAATCTCGACTCAATGCAACCTCTGCCTCCTGGATTCAAGCAATTCTCCTGCCTCAGCCTCCTGAGTAGCTGGGATTACAGGCATGCGCCACCACGTCCAGCTAATTTTTGTATTTTTTACTAGAGACAGGGTTTTCACCATGTTGGTCAGGCTGGTTTGAACTCCTGGCCTCAGGTGATCCATCTGCCTTAGCCTCCCAAAGACAGATTCTGTCTCTTGCTGTCTTATACAGACCTTTTGATTATTTGGGAAATTGAGTTTCTTCTCTATCAGGAAAAAAAAAAAAGGTTTCTTAGTCTTAAAACCTTTTAATTGGCAGGGCGCGGTGGCTCATGCCTGTAATTCCAGCACTTTGGGGGGCCAAGGTGTGTGGATCACCTCAGGTCAGGAGTTCAAGACCCTAGCCTGGCCTACATGGTGAAACTGCGTCTGTACTAAAAATACAAAAAATCAGCCCTGCATGGTGGCAGATTTCCATAACCCCAGCTACTCGGGAGGCTGAGGCAGAAGCATAACTTAAACCTGGGAGGCAAAGGTTGCAGTGATCCAAGATCAGACTATTGCACGCCAGCCTGGGCAACAAGAGCAAGATTCCATCTCAAAAAAAAAAAAAAACACCTTTTAATTATCACTTTGGATAAATGGGTATTATTTTACAGTGACTTATGATCTTATTTTGATTAAGTGCTTAATACCTCTGTCATACTTGACAGGCATCCTGAAATCAAATGTCTTTTTTTTTTTTTTTTTTTTTTTTTTTTTTTTTTTTTTTTTTGAGACAGGGTTTATGTCCCTCAGGCTGGAGTGCAGGCGCACAATCTCGGCTCACTGCAACCTCCGCCTCGCAGGTTCAAGCGATTCTCCTGTCTCAGCCTCCCAAGTAGCTGGGATTACAGGTGTGTGCCACCACACTCGACTAATTTTTGTATTTTTAGTAGACACGGGGTTTCACCATGTTAGCCAGGCTGGTCTTAAACTCCTGACCTCAGGTGATTCACCCACCGTGGCTTCCCAAAGTGCTAAAATTACAGACATGAGCCACTGTGCCCAGCCGACAGTTCGTTCTTGTACATCACTTAGTATTCAGTTGCACAGATGCACATAATGGGTACATCTGTCTGTTCCCTTGCTAATTGATGTCTGGCTTACCTCCAGTTTGGGTTATCATAAAGTAGCTAAGAACGTTCCTCCAGCCTTTTATGAACATATGTTCTTAGCTCTCTTGGGTGGCTATCTGGGCAGAGGGTGGCTGGCTGTATGGTCACTATGTCTAACTTTAAAAAAGAAACTGCCAAACTCTTCCAGGGTTACAGAAGCATTTTACATTCACACCAGAAGCCACAATCCAAAATGGCCCTAACTCTGCGTGGTGACACACAAAAGAGAACGTAAAACTGTTACACACAAACCAATGAAGCACTGGGTTTTTTAACCCACAGGCAGAAGCAGGGAGATCGCGCACCTGCTTTTCGGGATTTTTGTTGTTATTTTGAGATGGAGTGCACTCCCAGGCTGGAGTGCAGTGGTACGATCTCAGCTCACTGCAACCTCCGCTTCCCAGATTCAAGCAATTCTCATGCCTCAGCCTCCCAAGTAGCTGGGATTACAGGCAAGCACCACCACACCCAGCTAATTTTTGTATTTTTTAGTAGAGATGAGGTTTCATCATGTTGTCCAGGCTGGTCTCAAACTTATGACCTCAGGTGATCCTCCCACCTTGACCTTCCTAAGTGCTTTGATTATAGGCATAAGCCACCATGCCCCACCACATCCGTTTCACAAGGAGTCACTCAAAGGTGAAGACAGGTGGTAAAGGGGTCCAAGAAGCCAAGCAGACCCCCCAGCCCAGGCCTCCCTCACCTGGTCCCCGAGCCTAGGACACCCAGCAGCCCAGAGCTGCACGGGCTGCATTCCCTTCCCCGGTTAACTAAAGGGATCTGGGCATAAGGGGTCAGGAAATTCCAGCCTAGGACAGGGTTGTCCTTGTCACTCTCTTCAGGTCCACAGTGGTTACAGCTGCCAGATCTGGCCTATGCCTCTGGGAATAAAGTAAGTGATCCTTCTAGCAATGTCTCTGGGAAATGATGCCCTGGCCCCAAGCTGAGCATCCCTAAACACCAAGGTACTCACAGAGCCAGGCCCCTCTCAGGTGGCCCACTTTCAAGCCCAATGAGCCAGTTCTCACCACACCCTCCCTGGCAGGATGGAAGTGTACAGGTGAATAAATAAAACTTGTACAGCTGAACCTACCCAGTGTTTACTCAGGACTAGGGCACAGCTTTTTATGGCTTGTATCTCACTGAATTCTCAGAAAATGCGCCGACTGAAAAAGGGAGGCTCCTGTCAGGCACAGTGGTTCATGCCTGTAATCCCAACACTTTGGGAGGCCAAGGTAGGTGGACTGCTTGAGCTCAGGAGCTAAGAACGGCCTGGGCAACATGGCGAGACACCATCTCTACCAAAAAAAAATTAGCCAGGTGTGGTGGCACATGCCTGTAGTCCCAGCTACTTGGGAGGCTGAAGTGGGAGGATCACTCCAGCCTAGGCAATGGAGGTTGCAGTGATCTGAGATGGAGCCACTGCACTCCAGCCTGGACAAAAGAGACCCTGTGTCAAAATAAACAGACAAAATGAAGGCTCCCAGGGAGGCATGAAGGGATTTCATGGACAGGCTTCCTGGTCCCCATCCAGGTCTCCCTGCCTTCACTCTCGTCCCTAATATCCACCTTCCCCAGGGCAGCCTGGGTTGTTATAAACCAGATCTCAGCTGGGTATGGTGGCTCACACCTCTAATCCCAGCTACTTGGGAGGCTGAGGCAGGAGGATCGCCTGAAGCCAGGAGTTGGAGACCAGCCGGGGCAACATAGTGAGACCTGTCTCTATAAAAGAAAATTTAAAAAGGCCAGGCACGGTGGCTCACACCAGTAATCCCAGCACTTTGGGAGGGATCACCTGAGGTTGGGAGATTGAGACCTGCCTGACAAACATGGAAAAACCCCATCTCTAATAAATATACGAAATCAGCCAGGTGTGGCGCATGCTTACAAACCCAGCTACTCTGGAGGCTGATGCAGAAGAATCACTTGAACCTGGTGGCGGAGGTTAAGGTGAGCCAAGATCATGCCATTGCAGTCCAGCCTGGGCAACAAGAGCAAAACTCTGTCTCAAAAAAAAAATGAATAAATAAGAAATAATAAATAAATAAGTCAGGCACGGTGGTATGCACCTGTAATCCCAACTACTATGGAGGGTACAGTGGGAGGATTGCTTGAGCCCGGGATTTTCAGGCTGCAATGAGCAGTGATCACGCCCCTGCAATCCATCCTGGGCAACAGAGGAAGACCCTGTCTCTAAAATAAAGAAATACAACAGAACTCATGTCACACCACTGCCCTGCAGAAAAGCTACCTCTGTGTTCTCACTGCACCTGGAATCCCACCCTAACTCTCAGAGGAGACCCCTGCGAATCCTTCTCCAGCTTCGTCGCCTCCCTTTCTCCCCCTCATTGACTCTGCTTAAGCCACATGAGCCCCCTGCTGCACCTCGAGCCTCCTCAGGGCCTTTGCATTGGCTGTTCCCTCTACCTGGAAAGCCCTTCCTTCTCCAAATAGACACAAGACTCACTTCCTCCTTCTATACAAGTCTCTGCTTACATGTGACCTTCTTAAAATAAACGTACCTGGGCAGCTGGGCATGCTGAACAAACACACTTCAAAAAGCAAGAACACTCAGTATGCTGGATGCTCAGAAAGAGGCAGAGAAAATGAGATCAACTCAGGGAGGAACAGGCACATGCTCACCAAGGGTCAAGGCCACACTGGGTAGAACTCTGACCACTCTATCTAAAACACCTCCCTCAGCCAGTCACAGGAGATCATGCCTGCAATCCCAGCACTTTGGGAGGCCAAGGCAGGAGGATCACTTGAGGTTAGAAGTTCTAGACCAGCCTGGCTAACATGGTGAAACCCTATCTCTATTAAAAATACAAAAATTAGCCAGGTATAGTGGCACGCACCAGTAATCCCAACACTTTGGGAGCCCAGGGCAGGAGAATCGCTTGAACATGAGAGGCAGAGGTTGCCGTGAGCTAAGATCACATTACTGCACTCCAGCCTGGGCAACAGAGACTCCATTTCCAAAAAAAAATAAGTTCTCATTTCTTCATTTTTATCTCACCCCAACACTATCATTCTCCAAAGCTTCTCATCATGCATGTTTCACTACCAACACCCTATCTCTCACACAAAATGTCAATGGCACCCAGCAAGAGTGTCTGTTGGCCGGGCACAGTGGCTCATGCCTGTAACCCCAGCACTCTGGGAGGCCGAGGGGGCTGGATCATGAGGTCAGGAGATTGAGACCATCCTGGCCAACATGATGAAACTAACAATAAAAAATTAGCTGGGTGTGGTGACACATGCCTGTCATCCCAGCTCCGCAGGAGGCTGAGGCATGAGAATCACTTGAACCCAGGAAGCAGAGGTTGCAGTGAGCTAAGATGGTGCCACTACAGTCCAGTCTGGTGACAGAGGCGAGACTCCATCTCAAAAAATAAAAATAGTGTTTGTTTTGGTCCACTGTCTGAACCCTCAAGGACTAAACATCACTAAGCACAAAAACAGTCAGTTTCATCCACTCCATGAATTCACGAATTAAGGGCCAGGTCAGTGGAGGAGCTTCTTGATTCAAACTCTGTCCTCCTCCCGAGGCTCTCCCTCTCCCACGGTGTCTCTGGCAACGTGCTCGCTTGGCAAGCTCCAGGGAACACAAAGGTGGGACATCCTTCTTCCATGAGAGGAAGCCGAGCCAGGCAATCAGCAGAGACGTGAGTGATGAGGAATGCTGACGCCCACGGAACATATGTGCCCTTGTTAGTGTGGGGGAGGGACGACGCTGCAGGTGACGCTGAAGGAATACTGGCGAGAGCTGCTGCTCGGGATCAACTTGGCTGGGTTAGGGGATACCCAGATGGCTGGTAAAGTGTTATTTCTGGGTGTGTCTGTGAGGGTGTTTCCAGATGACTGAAATGTTTCCACTGGCATTTGAATCAGTGGACTCAGTATGGAGGATCCATCCTCACCCTATATGAGTGGGCACCACCTAATCAGCAGAGGGTCCAGATCAACAAAAAGTCAGAGAAATGACAAATTCATGGGATCTCTCTTCTGTGGCCAGGATGTCATCCTCTCCTGCCCCTGGACTTCAAAACTCCAGGCTGTCTGGCCTCTGGACTCTGAGACTTACCCCAATGACTCCAGGTTCTCAGACCTTTGGTTGTCGACTGAGAATTCCATCAGCTTCCCTGGGTCTGAGATCTTCAAACTTGGCCTGAGCCATACTACCAGCTTCCAGCTTCTCCAGCTTGCAGATGGCCTAGCATAGGACCTCTCCATAATCACATGATCCAGTTTGCCTAGCAGACCCCCTCTCACCCTCAATCCATCTACTCATCCATCATCTATCAATCATCCATCCATCTATCATCTATGCATTTATCTATCACCCATCCATTTATCTATCACCCATCTATCTATCATCTTGATTCAAACTCTGTCCTCCTCCCAAGGCTCTCCCTCTCCCATGGTGTCTCCTGCAACCTGCTCTCTCCTGCCATAGGACATGAGAATCTCCTTGGAGGGACATGTGCCTGACCCTCCCTAAGTCAATCTCACTTTCTCTGCCTCTTTCTGAGCATCTGGCATCCTAAGTGTTCCACCTATCATGTATCCATCCACCATCCATCCATCTATCATCTAATCTATCACTTATCCATCCATCCATCCATCCATCCTACTAGTTCTGTCTCCATGAAGAACTGCAATAAACAGGGACCCCACCTCTGCCTGCCAAGAACCTTCAACTGGGTCATGGACATGGGCCATTTCCTTAGGATGCTCAGCCACGGAGGCCCCAGCTCTATCCGCCTCCCACAAGACAATTTCTCCCATCACCCGGACCACCCAAACAGCCTCCCACCAGAGTCATCAGGTCCTCTGCTGATGTCCTAGTGGCTGGCACCATAGATGTCCTAGATTCCCACCTGCCATCTGGGTCTGACTGAAGGCCTGTATCCTGGGCATCCCCGGAATAGAATGAGGAACCGAACCCAGGTCTGGGGTTTTTCTCTGCAAGGCCAACGGCTCTGTGGAGAATCCAATGCACCAGACTGGCCCCATCACAGCTTACCATAGTAACCTTACCCCAGAATAAGCAACAGGAACAAAGACAGCCGCCCCACTACCCCATGGCCGAAATCCACTGCCTTCGTGTCACCTGCAATTTCATGTTCTGGCAATTCCGGGCTAAGGATGCATCTTACATCCTTGTTTAACTGGCAGTTGCTTTTCCTTCTAACTGTTACACAGAATAATAACTTATCATGCAACTGATGTGTCTTAGATTTCATGGGTTAAGTTACGTGCAGGGGAGGCCCTGGCCTGATTCCCAAAAGAATGACAGAGGTCGCACAGTGAGACATGCCTTCCATAGCGGGTAGAGTCTAAAATCCAGTGTAGCCAAAATCACTCATGAATTGACCCTCTTTGGCTAAAGAGACATACATGGTCAGCTGGGCACAATGGACAGAAGCACTTCAAATAGCAGGAACATGCGGGATGCCAGAGGCTCAGAAAGACACAGAAAAAGTGAGACTGACTCAAGGAGGGACAGTCACGTGCCATGGCATCAACTGCTGGCTTCTTTTCTGAGATGGAGTCTCGCTCTGTCTCCCAGGCTGCGATCTTGGCTCACTGCAACCTCTGCCTCCAGGGATCAAGCAATTCTCCTGCTTCAGGCCCCTCAGTAGTTGAGATAACAAGCGTGCGCCACCACGCCCAGCTATTTTTTGTATTTTTAGTAGATATGGGGTTTCACTGCCTTACCCGGGCTGACCTCGAACTCCTGATCAACTGATTTGCCCACCTTGGCCTCCTAAAGTTCTAGGATTACAGGCATGAGCCACCATGCCCAGCTTCTCTCTTATTTTCTACCCACTAGCCTTAATGACTTGTGAGATTCTATTCCATTTGCCAGAAAAGCAAACTGAGGCCCAGAGGAGAAGTGAGGCATCTTGCCCAATACCATAAGGCTGGTAACAGGCAGCACTGCCAGGGCTGCAGCCTGGGTTAGGCCACAGGGGTGGCAGGAGGTGACTGGGGCATCCTGGAGGACAAGGAAACTCACACTTACTTCCTACACTTGGCAAATTCCTTCTTCCAGTTCTTTACCAAAACAGGCACGACTCGTTCCGATATGTCTTCCTTGTTTAAGGACCAGAGGTCACTGCTCTCCAGGGGCTGGCGGTACCCCTGAACCATCAACCTGGGGCCAAGACACAAGGCGGGTAGGCAATGAGAGTCGAGGAGGAGGAGGAGGACGGGGCTAACTCACCCCACACGCCTGCTGATGCTGCTCCCCTCCCCAGCACAACTGCCCATGGCAAACGAAGGCAGCCTCACAGCTGGGGAAGTCCAAATGTGGATGGACATTTGCAGATATTACAAGGAAATTACAGCTCGTTCTGTTGGGTCATGCAGGAAAAAATGGCTTTGTTTTCGGAGGGGGTGTGCATACAAAATATTTAGAAAATAAGATGATTTAGGATGGAAGTATCAGGATGGCTCTAATTTACTTTTTTTTTTTTTTTTAATCATTCATTCATTCACTTTTGGTGACAGGGTCTTGCTGTGTCACCCAGGATGGAGTGCAGTGATGCCATGACAGCCTTCTGCAGCCTCCAGCTCCCCGCCTAGAGCAATCCTCCCACCTCAGCCTCCCGAGTAGCTGGGACTTCAGGTATGAGCCATTATAACTAGCTAATTTTTTTTATTTTTTATGTTTGTAGAGACAGAGTCTCCCTATGTTGCCCAAGCTGGTCTTCAGCTCCTGGGCTCAAGCAATCGTCCTACCTTGGCCTCAAGAAGTGCTGGGATTATAGGCATGAGCCACCATGTCCCGCCAACTTTTTAAAATTTCACATTAAAAACGGCTGATATGGGCCAGGCCCAGTAGCTCATGCTTATAATCCTAGCACTTTGGGAGGCTGAGGTGGGAGGACTTCCTGAGCCCAGGATTTTCAAGACCAGCCTGGGCAACATAGGGTGACTATCTCTACAAATGGTAAAAATAAAAAATCTAGCCAGTCAAAATGGCTCACAACTCTAGTCCCAGCTCCTAGGGAGGCTGAGGTGGGAGGATTGCTCGAAGCCAGGAGGTGGAGACTGCAAGGAGCTGTGATCATGTCACTGCACTCCAGCCTGGGCCACAGACACAGACCCTATAAATAAAAGAAAAATAGTAACAGGTTGAGGGGGGAAAAAAAACACAAAAAGGCTGTCATGACAAAGCATTAGCAATCATGAAATCTGGGTGATGAGCTTACTGAGTTTTGTTACATGAGTCTTTCTATGTGACTCTACCCAGGCTGGATTACAGTGGTGCAATCTAGACTCACCGTAACCTCCGCCTCCTGGGTGCAAGAGATTCTCCTGCCTCAGCCTCCCAAGCAGCTGGGGTTACACGCACCTACCACCACACCCGGCTACTTTTTGTATTTTTAGTGGAGACAGGGTTTTACCACATGGGCCAGGCTGGTCTCAAACTCCTGACCTCAGGTAATCCACCCACCTCGACCTCCCAAAGTGCTAACGTTACAGGCGTCAGCCACCGTACCCAGCCGACTCAACACTTTTATAATTAAAAAGTAAAACATTTTTGTTTTAAATAATTTCAAACTCCTTTTAAAAATTACTCAAATTATACTAAGAATTCACTCAACTCAGCACTGTTAACATGTTGCCACGTTTGCAGTATCATTCTCCATCCACTGTCACGCATACATACACATGCAAACACATGATCTTTTCATAAACCATTTCAACAGTTAAAGGCCTGGCACTGGCTGGGCGCTATGGTGCACGCCTGTAATGCCAGCACTTTGGTAGCCTGAGGCGCATGAATCACGAGGTCAAGAGATCGAGAACATCCTGGCCAACATGGTGAACTCTGTCTCTACTAAAAATAGAAAAATCTGCTGGGCATCGTGGCACACGCCTGTAGTCCCAGCTACTCGGGAGGCTGAGGCAGGAGAATAGCTTGAACCCAGGAGGCAGAGGTTGCAGTGAGCTGAGATCACGCCACTGCACTCCAGCCTGGGAGACAGTAAGACTCCTCCTCCCAAAAAAAAAAAAAAAAAAAAAAAAAAGCCAGGCATGGTGGCTCACACCTGTAATGACAGCACTTTGGGAGGCGGAGGTGGGTGGATCACCTGAGGTCAGGAGTTTGAGGCCAGGCTGGCCAACATGGTGAAACCCCATCTCTACTAAAAATACGAAAATTAGCCGGTTATAGAGGTGTAGGTCTATAATTCCAGATGCTTGTGAGGCTGAGACAGAAGAATCGCCTGAACTCAGAAGGTGGAGGTTGCAGTGAGCTGAGATCACGCCACGCACTCCAGCCTGGACGACAGAGCGAGACTCTGTCCCCACCCCCCCTAAAAAAAAAAGTTAAGATGTAGGCTCTACATGTCTTCACCCCCAAAAAACTAGGGGTATCCCCTTGTAATCCAGGACATGCTCTTACGTAACTAGAGCACAATTTTCCAAAACAAGAATGAAAGTTATTAGCATGCATCCAGGGTCCTGCAGTCATATACCAATTACATCAACTGTCCCAGTGCCGCTCTTTAATAGTAATTTGAAAAAATTAAGACACCTAATTTTTTTAAAAAGATGTTTGTAAAAAGTTCATAAAGACAAGGATGAGACCAGGCATGGTGGCTCACTCCTATGATCCCAGCACTCTGGGAGGCTGAGGCGGAGGAACCACTTGAGCTCAGGAGTTGGTTAGCAGCCTGGGCAGCATGGTGACACTCGTCTCTGCAAAAAAATACAAAAATCTGCTGGGCATGGTGGAGCGTGCCTGTAGTCCCAGCTACTTGGGAGGCTGAGGTGGGAGCATCACCCTGAGCCCAGTACATCAAGATTGCAATGAGCTACGATTGTGCCTCTGCACTCCAGCCTCAGCGACAGAGGAAAAGCCTGTCTCCAAAAGAACAAAAATGATGCATATTAGGGGGGAAAAAGATTCTTCAAACAATCCCCAGTAAGACATTGACAATGGGCAGAAAAAGATGTACAAGAAGAGGACCAGAAGGTAGGTGGGCACAGTGGCTGAGTCCTGTCATCCCAGCACTTTGGGAGGCCAATGCAGGTACATCACCTGACGTCACAAGTACAAGACCAGCCTGACCAACATGGAGGAACCCCATCTCTACTAAAAAGACACAAATTATCCAGTGGTGTTGGTGGCACATGCCTGTAGTGCCAGCTATCTGGGAGGCTGAGGCAGGAGAATCACTCGAACCCAGTAGGCAGAGGTTGTAGTGAGCTGAGATCACGCTACTGCACTCCAGCCTAGGAGATAGAACAAGACTTCATCTCAAAAAAAAAAAAAAAAAGACTAGAGGGACGTATACTAAAATGTAGACAGTGGTTGCCTCTGGCTGTTTGCTTACTACTGATCTGCACAGGTGTTTTATTAACCCACATTTCCGTTGGTGAGACAGTATTATTTTTCCAAGGAGTGGGGGGCGGGAAGGGGACGATGTCAATAACTATACCTAATATTTTAAAAACCCAAATCTGCAGAGGTTTACGCCGTTCTCGGCTCATGTGTTTATCATATTCAAGTTGATGAACTTAGAGGACAGAGTAGGTGTCTCTGAGACCATGTGGCCAGCATAGGCCGATTCAAGACAACTCTGCAGAAGAGCAAAGGAAGGAGAAGTCGAGGGGGGGAGCTCAGCATGCTCATTCATTCACTCATTCATTCATTCCCCCCCACCTCCCTGAGGTCTCGGAGGCCCAGCCTTACCCTGTGATCCACCAGAAGGTGATCCTGGACAGGAAGGAGGCGCTGGACTCCGGGCAAGGATTCTAGTGGAAAGAAAGAACAGGTTAGGGAGGAAGAGGGAAAGGAGCGATTCAACTTTTCATCCAGGCCAGAGCTTG